GAAATGAAAATGGAGTAAAATGAGAAGAAAGAGAAAGTGATTCTACTCTTGGAGCAACCATCTATTCAGAACTGATAACTTTCCATAATTCACCATCTACTATCGTTCTAAAAGAACTCTTTTCAGATTCCCGTTGTCTTCATGATATCAGCTGTCCAACGTCATTATGCTCTATATATGGCTCTGATTACCATCCACTCAGCGAAACATCTAGCCTCCTTCTACATCCGAAAATTTACCTCTTAAAAAAAAGTCCTCCAAATAGAGATGCAAGTTTTCAAGATAACAGGATCTTATCCCCTCCCTCCCATCAATAAGCCTACTTTGTAGGCTATTACCCACCTTATTACGTAACTGGTTTGGGTCTGGTTTTTTTTTCAAACACATTTGCACAAGGTCAGCTCAAAATGACTTGCCCGAAGTTTTTTTCTTTCTTAGATTGTAACATTTTGTAGAGTTTGGCACTCTCCTCCAGCATGTCGGATGAGCGAGGCGGCCAGTATACTCGCTTTCCGAACTTCCGGCATACTCCTACTGAATTCCCAAGGTCGTTTTTGCTGGCAAGCGAGGAGGGCATGGGTACAAACTCCGTCGAATTATATTTCCTGGTAGTGTCTGCTTGGGCAAAACCTTAGTGCTTGTAATTTTTATTAACTTATAACTGGACCTGAATTGAATATGATTTTATTGTAAATATATGTATATACTTTGTGTTTCTTTAAAGAATATGTGTATCTCAACTGCTCCTTTAGCCTTACTTTGTAGCACGCCTTAGAGCGTAAGAATAAATAAATAAATAAATAAATAAATAGGCTTCAAAGTACCATTCGATAAAGCAAAGCAAGCTCTACAAGATGACTGTCTTGCTTTAGCAACAGCTCTGATGCGCCTCGAGTTTCGAACCAAAATCTAAAATGATTCAACTGCCCGAAAAATCGAGAGAAATCGTAGCTCAGTCCATAGGAATCTTACAAAAATTCTAACTTACTCACGTAAGCACTATTCATATAAGACATATGTGTACGCCATTGCCGTATTTTTTCCTCTGTTAGAAATCAAGAAAACGGAAATTTTCATGCATTTGCCAAAGTGATGCTGTGCCGTCCCCACATAAATAGATGTACACTACAGATCTGTAGAAATACAAAGGAGTGCTTTCAGCTCTCTACAAGCTTTAGTTCTCGAGAAATTTGAATTTTAGCTTGGACCACCTGACTAATGAAAGCTATATTCGATATTTCTCGAGAACTAAAGCTTGTAGAGAGCTGAAAGTACTCATTTGTACTTCTACAGATCTGTAGTGTACATCTACTTATGTGGGGACGGTACAGCATCACTTTGGCAAAACATGAAAATTTCCGTTTTCTTGATTTTTAACAAAGGAAAAAATACGGCAATGGCGTACATATATGCCTTATACGGATAGTGTTTACATGAGCAAGTTAGAATTTTTGTAGGATTCCTATGAATTGAGTTACGATTTTTCTCCATTTTTCGAGCAGTTGAATCATTTCAGTTTTTGGTTAGAAACTCAAGGTGGATCAGAGCTGTTGCTAAAGCAAGATAGTCATCTTGTAGAGCTTGCTTTGCTCTATCGAATGGTACTTTGAAGCCTATTTGAGAATGAAAAGTATATGACTTATTGCGGTTGAAATTTAAAACGGACATTGATTTCCGGACAACCTAATACATATATACGCCGTTGCTGTATTTTTTCCTCTGTTAGAAATTAAAAAACGGAAATTCTGCATCTGCCAAAGTGATGCTGTGCTGTCGTCACATATAATTGTATACTACAAACAAAACCTTCTTCTAATTTCATACCGTAGTGCTATGACGTGCAAATGTAAAACTATTTGTAACATAATGCTCACCCTAAAAATACCTCCTATATCTTCTCACAAGCATCTAGCTGCAATAGAATCCATCTCACGCCTCATCATAAAAATCTGTCCACCCTCCCCCTCCTCCCCTCGACCTTGAGGCAAAACTTTTTCGATGGGCAAGAGGTGTCCATCTCTCTCCATCGCGCGCTTTCATGTCCAGAGATTGTCGCGCTCACCCCCTGAGGGAGTTGACATGAGGGCATAAATCGTGGCCTAATCGATCTGTTTTCCTTTCTATAACACTTTTGAAGAGTTTTATATGTGAATTTTGACTAATGGATATTTTTGAGAAGTTGAACTTTCGAACTCTGAGGGGAACCAAAAATAGCCAGCGTAAGTCTGAAAATGCATTATTCTAGCTCAGAAACGTTCCCATGCCGTTTACTTTGAGATTTTTTTCAAAAATTTTTCGATCAATGGTCAGTTTTATAAAATTGATTCCTTTATTAGTTTAATTGAAGCAAAACTACTCGCCGTAATTCCCACGAAGTCAATAGCTTCCATTCTGTCTTCTTTGGAAAATGATATTTTGTAAGCAGTTGATGATTATTTTCGACCTTTGAAGTATTCTAGAAAGGCCGTCATAATTCCTGCAATTGTAATCCCATAGCTTTCGTCATAATCATATAATTCATATCTTATCTATCTTCCTCTATGAAATTTGAAAAATTGGAGAAAAATACCATCATTCTAAGACGTATCCAGCGAGCTTTTGCATTTTTAGCATGATAATTGAATAGTATCATGGATCGCGTGATACTATGGAATTCCCATGAAAATCGAAAAAAAGATATTTTTGGACAAAGGACGAGGGAAGATTTTTGATTTGTCAACGACTTATCTTCTCCCCGTGAGATATTTCATAATTTCGCTTCAAAACTCGAGTTGCTGTGATTTTAAGCTGTGGGCAAATATAAGGCTAGTGAATTCTTGAGTTTGCCTTATGTCATTCCGAAAGTAATTTCGCTTTTTTCGAACGAGCGCCACATTTGATGGAACAAAGATTTTCAAGAGATCTTGGCAGCATTCGACACAGAATTTTATCCTGTTTCTAAGGGTTTTGAAATTGTTGCAACACATTCAATAAGATTTCAGAAAATAATCATAATCTGCGACCTATGCTTTTTGAGATGGTCAAGTTTCACGAATTTTTAAAATATAGCAATCCTCAGAAGGAGTTCAAGTAGGGTTCGATAGAGTAAACCTTATAGAACACAGTGCTACTTTTTTCTCTTCCTCGTAGCTCGCCGTAATATTTTGAAAGATTTTTTAAAAGAACTATCGGATTTTGGTAGGCCCACCTCAGCCACAATCGCATCAAACATCATAATTTTTTGGAATTTGAGACTACCAAGATGGTGCTATGAGTCAGCATTAATTTTACAAAGCAAGTGAGGGTTTACTGGTTCGAAATATCAAATTTCGAGTTTTTCGGGTACAGCCTGGGGCTCGCTAAAAAAATGAGTTATGATGATTTCTCCCCGGAAACTAAACGAATCGGAAACAAAAAGCACCTGTTAGAAAGAGGAGAAAATGCTGCATCGAATAGTGTGCGAGCAGATTTTGTTTTGATGTTTTACGAGGATTTAGCTGCTCAAGTATGGAAATCGGTGGCATCAGTTAAAATTCTGTTAAAAATGTATGACACGCTATGGAAAGGAGATAGTACTGTATCTTATAAGGTTTACTTTATCGAATCTTTACTTGAACTCCTTCGGAGGATTTATATGAAAGTTTTAGAAAATCGTGATACTTGACCATCTCAAAAAGCATGGGTCGCAGATTCTGGTTGTTTTCTGAAAGCTCATTGACTGATTTGCAACAATTTCGCGACCATTAGAAAGAGAATGAAATTCTGCATCGAATGCGTCCAAGATCTCTTAGAAACCTTTGTTCCATCAAATGTGGCGCCCGTTTGAAGAAAGCGGAATTACTTTCGGAATGACCTAATATTATTTTTAACGTTTCGAGTGCATCAAACTCTGGTTTTTTTTCAAATCACAGGTGCAAATAGAAGTTTTTCAAATATCGCATGATTGTTGTGCCAAAAAAACAAAAGAAACCCCGAGAAGTTTAGTGAAATTGTGATACCCTTTGAATTCAACTGGGTCGGCTGCTGGAAGGCGGGGGTTCGTGACCTAATTAAGGCTAAGTAAATAATCAGAGAGCAGACGACGTGACAGAGACGCAGACTGCGTCACAGGTCCGAGTGGCCTCAATTAGCTCACAAAGCCCCGCCTTCCAGTCGACAAGCCAGTCGAATCAAAGCTTATGTTTTTCTCAATTTTTTTGATCCTACGCTATCTGAACATTCAGAGTCCTGCAAATTTTCACGGGAAATTTCAAAAATTGTTATAAGTTTATGTAATTTGTGTATTCGACACACTTTCCTGACACCAAAGGACATCTGTTCCACAACTTGTATTTTTCTAAGAACATTGCTTCTGTTTCTTTTTCACATTGAGTCAACTATGCGCATTGCTTCTCCGCTGTGCCAACAAACTGGGTCGCTAATTGCTGGCTGTCCGAGAACATTTTTAGCTATGTCTCGCTGTAATTTACTTTTTGTCCCTATAATAGTGTACTTTTGAGCGTGGTCCTAAGCTTGAAATCAAAAATCCGTTTTCAATTATTTGTTTTTTCAAAACACACTCACCAAATCTTGTGCATCGAAGATACTGCCTATGAAAACTTGATATCGGGTTTTTATCTGGATAATCAAAATTATTTTGTGTAAAATACAGATCTAGTCTCTAGCCTAAACCATGTTTCTAGCTCGAAACTGTCTGCTTTGACCAAAAGATTACGATCTGTGCCACATTTTGGATCTGAACATCTCGGCCACGAATGGATCATAAAGGCTGTAGTTTGAGCATTATCTTAGTTAAAATTGTTCAATCGGTTTCCACAAGAGAAACCCAAGTATGCAGGTCTATCTATGAAGAGAAATTAATCTAACGAATCTAACTGGTCAAACTACAAAGAAATATGCAGCTTTCTAAAGGAGCATTCTTTTATTTGTTGTAATTGCTGGATAGAATGATAGAGTGTCAATAAAATATGAGTTTTCAAGTGCCCTAAAAATAGTCTGTCTGGTGGACATTCTTATTCACAATGGTCAATTCCGTATTAGAGGTAGCGCAAGATAGGTTAACGATTTAATTTTTTGGTTTAGTTCGTTTATTTCTGCACTCCTCATTCCTCACTACCTCAGCGAAATCAGAACTAGCATCCACTTTGTGGTAATCGCTTTCGTAATCTATTCTTTGTGGGGCCATAAGCTTTATGATACTTACCCACAAATACTTTTGTTTGCTGCTTATTGCTGTCAAGTGAACGGCTTGAGCTTTGAATGTGCCCATTTTCTTCTTTTCACATTGCCATTTGTCACCACTGGTGCAAAAATATGACTTTCGTTGGGTAAAGATTTCTCACTGTGGGTTCTGATTATATCGAGTTTTGAAAAATCGTAAACTTGTTTTACTCATTTGTTTTGCTAGATGAGCCTATTATTCCTCAAAAGCTTATTTTGCAAACCATCTCACAAAAACTTATCTTCAGATGAGCTGCTCTGACATTTGTTTAATTTTTCTTTCATACCATAAATTCAATAAATAATTGAATGAATAAGCCTGAACAATGAATAAATGGATGATTAAACAAAATTCAAATCCATCTCTTTGTTTGCCTTCGGTCGGAATGTGAAAACAGCTTGAAATTCAAAATCTGCAAATCTGCAGAAATAATGCATGGAAAAAAGGTCACATGGATCTTTGGCTCCACTACAGTAACCAAATTTGGGTAATAGAGTGGTCCGTGATGCAACTATCAGCTGTATTGATACTGTGACTTAGAGATGCTCATAACCTGAAATGTATAGCGTTACTTTGCTGTAAATGTCTTGCTTTTGAAGGATACGGTAGCATACGGTATATGTGAACAGAAGACCCAGAAGCAGTTTTTTGTTTACAAGTTATTTATCTTATTATTCAATTCATTACATTTTAATACTGCTTTAGCAACCCCTTTTGATCACCAGAAACTTCAAAATACAAATTCTAGAATTCGAGACTTTCGAGTATCTTTGGCGCCGTTACAGTAATCCACAACCAGATGGGTCGGCTCAGAGTGGAATGCACCCCCAAGTATTTTCTGCGTGAAAGCGCGATCCAAAGATTGTGAAATGTTTACGTTTAAGTTTTAGATAAAGGAAAGCGCTGCTTTGCTCTAAAATGTTGCTTCTGAGGAACTGGGGTTACGGTAGCATAAGCCAAAGTGCCGATTGCTAGTTTTTTTTCTTGCTTATTCTTGATGCTAATGATTTAGGCCGAATATTTTTAGCGGAATCGTAGTGCAATCAAAGAACTTTGCTAGAATTCTGCAGGTTTTTCTCCACTCCTTCCAGGGTCAAGCGCGTTGATGCGATCCTGGACCCTCATTTACGACCCCCCCCCCCTTAAAGGTACCCATCCGTACGATCCCCCCCCCCCCCTCCCCTCTCCCTCTCCCATCTATCACTCTTATCTCCCCTACCCACATTTCTCGCGGTAACCTGCATAAACGAATGTCAATCTCAAAAAACACCTGCGTGAGAACTTCAGTGAGGTTTCGGAAGCAGAATTTTTAGGCCAATGGGTGCGCTTAGCATCTCTAGCACATATACACACCTTCAATAATGTTTGAGATTCTGCAAGTTTAGTTTTGAATTTTCAGGAATACTTCAGGCCAGCAAATTCGATTCCCGTATGCGACACAAATTTTTACACGGAGAACAAAATGACATTCTTGAAGTACAAAAGATGTTTTCGACTAAGAAGCTTACTTCCTACCTCTTCCACAGCTTTTCCCGCGAAAAAAACCACTTGAGCGCCGTTCAGAACGACGTCAAAAACATGCATGAGCACGGTAGTTTGAAAATTCGTAACTAAGGCCAGAAAAAGACTGAGAGACTGCAAAGAACAGGTTCTGTAGCATAGTGCCCAGACTATTCATAGAAAAAGTTTCAGGCCTTGAGGAGCAGTGAGCTCGAAAAAATTTAGATCAGGCTCTCGTAAATTTAGATGCGATCCTAAAAAGCAAAAACTGGGATTTTTGCGCTTAAAATTTTGTAACTTACCAGAGAAGTTATAAAACAGCCTGCAATTTTTATGAGGGAAAGTAGGAGGATGGCCTCGTATTACAGCAAGTTTGCAGCAAACAAGCTTCAATAGCTCCGGAGAAATTTAGATCAGGCGCAGATACGACCCCCCTTTTCTCATTTTTTGCTACCATAAATAAAATCATAAGAAAATCCGCAGTTTATAAAATAATACTAGATTTTGCACAGCAGTAGCAGGGCTTATCTAAAGTGCATATAAATTGTAAGGGTCGCATAAATGGCATTACAAAAAGATTTACGAATTATTGATTGTCATCGTTGATCTACATGTGCGCTTTTGTCGAGTGTGCGAGTCTTCAGTGAGCCTTCGGAAGCAGGATGTCTACGCCAATCGGTACATCCAACATCTTTATCACACATACATGCCTTTAGTAGCATTTGAGCTTCTAAAAGTGTTTATTTTTTGGATTTTAGTCATGCCCGCAGGGTTCGATCCCCGTTTGAGACAATATTTTGCGGGAGAAAGAGCGATTCCCATAAAAAAAGAACTAAGTCATAATCTTCCAAAAGTGCGGCAAATGAAGCGAATTTCTACGCTTGCAAATGTTTTCAAATTATTGTTCACTCGTTTTTATTTGATACATTGGTACACGGCATTCCATGAATTTATTGTTAAGAACATGTAATAATTGCTTGCTATTTGATTTGCTTTCAATCGTACGGTTTTCTATCCAAACTACCCCCTCTTACGACCCCCCCCTCACCGTAGGCCCCCTTTACGACCCCCTGTTGCGACAGTCGCATCACACGCTTGACCCTGACTCCTTCCGCCTTTCCCACCCCTCCTCCACCCTCCCTTTCTCCCCTTCTTTCCCTACCACATGCTTGAATCTGATACAATCTTTGCATATTCATCAACTGGTCATCCATTACTTCAATCTGAAGTAGTAGACGTCCAGCAGAGTGCTCGATAACGTCCCTAAGGATTTATGCACATAATGCGATAGCAAGTGCAGTGTGAAATGTCGCGCACGACCCTCTGTCCCCTCTCACCCCGGGCATCCATCTCTCGATCCGGGGTTATTCCACTGCACTTCAAGCGCAACTTAACGACATTTTGAGGGCCAGTCGGTCGTGCTGCCGACCATCCGCCGTCATCAGAATTAAGGCGTTACGCTTTGACATCGCTTATGTGAGTGTTTTTTGGGCAATTTTGGCTCGATTTCAGCCGCAGAGCGGCATTTTCGATTTGATGAATATAAGCCGCATAAGAAGTGAGAATCATGAGAAATTTTGCCCGCCCTTACGACCATTTCTCATTTCTCGAAAATATTGTGCTGTTTCACGAATTCGGCCTCAGAAATCTATCTTTTTGTTATATACTGAGGTTTCTGCTACTAATGGAGAGCTCAAAACTTTCGCTCAAAGCTGTATCGTGTGAATTCTCAATGACAAAATATACTCAATTTTTCACAAAGCCGATATTCCTGACATAAAGTCCTTCGAATTTCCCTTAGGCACGCATCAGTGGTGCTTTCATCGTTTCTTTTCGGGGAGGGGAGGGGGAGGCGGAGGCAACGTAAATGTTTTCGGTCACTCGAAAACTTTTTGGGTATTTTTCAGAACTTTTGCGGACCCATCACCCCGAAGTTCAAATAAAGGGGCGTGGATGACAGAGGCTAATTTGAAAATTTAACATTTTTTGGAAGTATAGATAAGTTACTTCCAGACTTTTGAAACACAACTAAGTAAGTTTCAAAAAATTTCGTGCCCATTCTCGGGAAGGGGCGTCCACATATTCACTAGATTCGAGGCTAGAAGTCAAAACAAAGTCATACATAGTTATTATTGGCAAAGCACGCTCCTGATCCTAATTCTCGCTGCGAAAAATTATGTATGGAATGTAACATTCCAAATTACAGCCCATAATTTTCAATCCGTAGACCTTGATCTCAGAGAAATTTGTTCTCAATGCAAATTTTAAAAGTTGAAAAATTTCCTATAATGAGTTTAAGATATAGGGACGAATGTGTAGGAACCCAGAAGCCTATTCTTGTCATTCAGCTAAGAAAATTGTGCAGTAAAGTCTCTACCGTCTGATAAATGGAGTATTCTTTGTACTCGTGCTAGATTTTTCCAAATTGAAAATTGCTTAATTTTTCAGAAGCGCCGTGATCCTGTCGCGGCGGCGCAGGCGCCGATGGGCGACAAGCTGGATTACGATGATTCAGAATTTGATGATCCAAAGGCGAGTTGTACTTTTTCCTATATTTTTTGAGTTTTGAGAGTGTTTCTAGGCCTAGTAAATTTACAACTCTCGTTAGATTGCTCATTCTTTTTTTTTGAATAAAGATAGAAATGTCTCGATTTCTCACATAAATAACAAGAAGATATTGCAGAACCTATAGAGCATGTAGCCCCCTTGTCACAATTTTCCGAACAATATGGGGCTTTTTCATCTATGAGCATTCGGTCGACTGTTTTATTTGAAATTTATATGCATTTCTTCTTTTTCCCAATATCTCAAATGCTTACAAAGTGCGATTGTAGCCAACAATTTTAACCCTCTTTATTTCTGTTATGCGTTTTTTGCGCATGTTTTCTTCACTTGTCATATTTACAAAATTTAGGTTGCTGCCTTATTCTCAAGTCGCCGCCAGTCGCGACGATCCCTGCCATCTGTCTCATCAGACGATACCCGTTATCACAATATTAAGACTTTGTTCAAAAATTTTTGTAACAGGACGAGTTCTCACGGTGTTCCATTTTTGGGGTGAGAATCTCGCCTAGTTTGAATTTTGCCTATATGTGAACCGCACAGTATAAAAGTAGCTTTTAGATCTCCTTCGTTTTTTGGATGGCGGGTTTGGATGGTGGTATGCTTCTGCGCTGCTACGCTTTTCCTCTTTCAGACATATTGGACCCTTTCGGAATATTTTCAGTACAGAACCATTATAGAAATGCAATTACGATTTGAAGCAGGTAAAAAATCATTATTTTCGTACAAAAATGCTCATTTTTGTACTTTTAGCCCCATTCCCAGCAGCTACAGTATGTAATCTAAACGCCTTCAAATACAGTGAACTTATACAGTATGAAGAGATCAAAGAAGGGGTACGTGGTTGAGTTACGGTAGCATGGAGGTCAAAGTACTGTATTTGCAGTTTGATTATTGGGAAAGAGTGATCAATGCGCGGGAGATGAATGAAATGCTGAGAGAGGATCAAGGTCTAATGAATAAAGTGGATTTAAGGCAGTAAGTTGATAATTGATTACTTTATTTTTATTTTATCTGATTAATATACAATTCGCCAAACTACGTTTTTTGAGGAGGAAGGGTGAGAGAGAATACACTGATCCTTGATGTTATTGAAGTATTTGAAATTGTTCTTCTATTTTTCCGTTAATCTATACTTGTCCCCGTAATCAGCGAAAGTCCTTATAAGTCGACTCCGCTCTTTAAAGACCTAGTTGGATCTTGGAAAATAATTAAATTCAAAAATATCAAATAGTGAACTCTGCCCTAGAATGTTGTTCATACAACTGAGCAGATTAAATTACCATCAGGACTCGGCACAGCTGGCATCGGGTGAAGCTGAATATCATTTTTGTGGCCAAAAATACACAATTGCGACGTTTTTTCAATCGAAGTTTCGTTTTGAGGGTGTTTACGTTTAGAGTTTAGGGTCAAAGGGAGCTTTGTACGAAAATTTCAAGACTAAAGGAGAATTCTTTCTATTAGGTTGTCAAGAAAATAATGTCCGTTTTTATTTGCTTGCTATAACAAAGCAACCAGACTCAACCCAACAAACGGTAAGGGGTACTGTTCGATAGAGCAAAGCAAGCTCTACAAGATGGCACTCATGTCTTTGCGCCAAGCTCGATCCATGGAGAGTTCGAAGTCAAAATCTAAAGATTTCCAAATGCCCAAAAAATCGAAAAAAAAATCGAATCTTCGTCCAAATGATTTCTACTGACCTCCCACTCGCTCACATCAATACTATCGATATCTGCTATCCATACGTGCGATTGCCGTATTTTTTCCTTGACTAGAAACTGAGAAAACGAAAATTTCCCTGATTTTCTCAAAGCAATGCTGAGCCGTTTTTGCATATGTAGTTCTATACTACAAGCCTAGTTAAGCATAACTGTAGGTTTTTAGCCCATTCCAAGCGGTACTTTTCGAAAAATAACGAATACGAATTTTTTCGTTTCAATTTCAGTGCTAAAATCGACATTTCTCGAAAAGTACCGCTCGAAATAGGCTGAAAACCTACAGTTATGCTTACCTAGGCTTGTAGTATAGAACCACATACGCAAAAACGGCTCAGCATTGCTTTGAGAAAATCAGGGGAATTTTCGTTTTCTCAGTTTCTAGTAAAGGAAAAAATACGGCAATCGCACAAGTGGATATCAGATATAGATAGTATTGATGTGAGCGAGTGGGAGGTCCGTAGAAATTATTTGGACGAAGATCTGATTTTTTTCGATTTTTTGGGCATTTGGAAATCTTTAGATTTTGAGTTCGAACTCTCCGTGGATCAAGCATGGCGCAAAGACATGAGTGCCATCTTGTAGAGCTTGCTTTGCTCTATCGAACAGTACCCCTTACCATTTGTTGGGCTGAGTCTGGTTGCTTTGTTATAGCAAGCAAATAAAAACGGACATTATTTTCTTGACAACCTAATATTTCCTTGGTGCCAACTCGTGCCGAGCGCTGAACTACCATATCCTCGTATTCCAAGTGTAAAATCTGCTTATAAAGTCCTGCAGACTATACAAAGCCCTATCGGGGCCTGGTCAGCTGGGGGTCATCATGAGTTTTAAGGATCAAGAATTCTTTAGATTTCTTGTGCAAAGTGCTTTTTACTTCGCTAGATGGGTCTAGAGCTTCGTGTTTTGTTATCCATCCTTTATTTTCTGTATGCCCTGTGACTGGGAGGCTAGTTTTATGTGTTGTGCTTTGTTTGAGCTTTCTGTTTGATCTTTTCCTTTTGATGCACCTTGAGTGTAGTTATAAAATAAAAATAAAATAAAATCAAGCAAGCTAAAGTTCTCTATGCGGAATTTTTGCTGCTGTTTTTACTGTCTGTACATTAGTTACATTGCCTAGTATGCGTCGTGACTTCTGCCACCAAAAACAACATCTACGAATTGCTCTATGCAAATGCGGTACTTTATGTGTTTGTTGTTTCCGTCCTAATTCGTTTACGCTATTGCCAAAGTTAGGAGTCCCATTGCAAGGAGAAGGAGTATCAGTGAGGGGTTTGAACATATCTGTTTTGTTTTTTCCATAAGTTTTCCAGAGTTGATATGGAGATTGCATGAATTAGCCTGGAAAGAAAGGGTCGTTTTTCACAACAAAACAGCAGAACGAATATGTAAAAACATGTATGGGGTACCATTCGGCAGGACAAAATAAGCTCAAGGTGACCTACCAACATCGGCAGAGTCGTGATTTAGGCAAAGTTTAAAGCCAAAATATAAAAACAGCTTGTGATGGAAAAATCGGGTTTTCGTCCCAAAAGTTGTTAGGAAAATCTTTCACTTGCTCTCGCATGTAACAGACACATAGATACATCTATCCATAGACATACTTGCTATTTCTTTCATGTTTGGGAACTGAGAAAAACTGAGAGACGGAAAACAGCAAACTCTTCCTGAAGTAGTCCTGGGCTCTCCTCCCATATATGCCGTAGTATACTATAAAACTTCAAAACTTCAAGCAAAAAATTTCGGCCTTGGATATGCCCTACGTAGTTTCCGAGAACTATCAATAGCTGAAAAACTTGAAAAAAGCGACATTCTTTTATTACCTTAAAAGTGTCCTGAAAAGTTTTGGAAATAGAACAAAGCATTTTTGAGGCTTAAAGCAATATTCTGATTTAGAAAACGGGCCCCACTGAACTTTCCGATCGATGAGCATGATTTGCAAGGAGCTGTTTATCAGCCGGTTTTTGTTAGATGCACCTGTCTGAATACGGAACAATGCGTCCCAAACAGAAATCCTCTGGAGGTAGGTACAAATATCTTTTGGCTAATAGCCAAAATTTTTGACAACTTCTAGGTAAACGCTTCTGTATGTATGTGCTTTGAAGATGTCACTAAAGGAATCATTTGGCCGTGTTATCCAACCAGTGTTTGGACTGTCAAGGTAGAGGGACCATCAAATCTGCAATTTTTGAAAATTCGAAATTTTCTTTCAGAAATGCTCTCATTGTTCGGCTATATCCAACACCTGTTCCGATCCCGATCATCATAATGGGACCAGCCATCAGAAAGCGGGACCAGTGCAACCTTGCCTCTGTCAAAGTATTTCACACCACTGCATGGTTCATCCAAAGGCTAGTGGTTTTTTCAAAAATTTTCAAAACGTTGAGGAAAGCTATTTATTCAATTGTTTATGAAATTGTTGTACGGAGAAGAGTTTCGTGCTCTTTGTTTGTGTATGCATGCAGTACATGCACACAAAATAGGTGTTCAACTCCTCCTTCGTGACGAGTCCCGCCCACTCGGTCATTGCTGCCGCTGCCGATAATCGCAGTAATTCGTGTTTCTGTGATTTCTTGAGTTTTGGCGGGCAGGTCTTGCCGGAAGAGATGGGGCTGGCCACCGAGAGGTTGAAGCTTACCCACTCGAGCGTTATGATGATTTTTTCACTATAACATAATGATTTTTTTGTACAGGAAAACTTATGTTTACAGATTATTGTTTCAGGATGAGATCAAATGGTGGAATCCAAATAACTATACGATTTTCCCGGCCACAGACCCTCCCACGACCATCGTTACCGAAACTGAGCAGGCTTTTGGACTGTCGGTAAGTGTTTCGGTACAAGGAAGTTTACTCTCAATGAATTGCTTTTTGCGACAAAGCTTCAGCAGAGGAAATTAAATCCTCAACGAACAACTTTGCTCATCATATTATTCTTTTTTTTCAAAAAAATTGAGCATCAAAGTACATTTTTTAACTGCGAATTCTTGGTAGGTGAAGTTGCCCTTTGATTCAGCTGGCTTGGCGGCTGGAAGGCGGGGCTTCGTGACCTAATTAAGGCTAGGTAATGATCAGAGAGCACGCGTGCGGGAGAGACGCAGACTGCGTAGCGGGCGTGTGCCTCAATTAAGTTACAATACCCCGCCTTTCAGCCGCCAAGCCACTTGAATAGGATACATGCTCTGTTTGAAATACAACTGGAAATTTGTGAGGTAGTGGAAATGAGGCTTTTCAGTAATAAACCGTTATCATGTGGGAGAAATATAATTGTGGATTAAGAGCGAGATCAAAGATATCCGAAAGAGTGTTACTTAACAAACAAGATGCCCAGCTTTGAATGACTCCATTTTTTCAATTTGTTAAAATGTGCGAAAAATTTTTGAGATACTAGAGGTAAGCATTTGACTTTTAGAATCTTTTACACGCAGTCGAAGGCCTTAAGACGCCTACTCAAGCTTAGCAGTTTAAATTTCGTGAAGCAAATGCTACGCGCTAAACAACGGACATTTGATATCTGGTGTCGCGTAAGCGGAACTAAAGAGAAGTCTGCAATGGGTTTCAAATGAGCTTTCATCTTTCGGTCAAAAGGTTTTGTGCAAAAGAGTTTGATCTTCAATACGAAGTACTTAGTGCATCAGCACATACTTTACATCACGTACGCCACATTAAAAGACAAATGGCTGTCATTTAGTGCACCGCATCTCCTTGATAGGCTCTCAGTCAAGTATGGCCTCTTCAGAATATGCAACTATAGACTTTCTATTCAATAACCTTTCGAATGAATTTTGATTTTCAGTCATAAATAATTTTGTTTCAGGAGCTGAAAGACAAAGGTGCGATCACAACTCAGACGAAAGAAAATCTGATTTTCTTGGTTGCTGCTTTGCCTCGAGACACTCGACGGAATCTTTCCTACACTTTAAATGAATTCGTTCTTCGATGTTCTTTCAACAGTAAAGATTGCAATATGGAACGGTAAGCTAATTTTCTACTTGGCCGGTACCGGAGGAGGATCGAGTGACGGGGGGGGGGTATAAACGCAAAAATTTCGAAGTCTACATAGGTTCATTTTTTATGAGCTGAGTGAATTTTTGCACGTTCCCTAAACGTCTGAATAGTAGCAAATTTTTTCGATCGGCTAAGGCTCTCCAAAAAAAAATTCAATTGAAATTTTATCTCCTATGTCCAAAAAGTCTATCGCCTTTCCCTCTCCATCCCTAGTAATTATTCTGGGAACATTTTCAGGATTACTGTCGCATATATAAAGTTATAAATTTCAGAGACTTTAAGCTGCACGTTGACCCCGAATACGGAAACTGTTATACTTTCAATTTCAACGATTCGGTAGAGTTAAAGAACAGTAGAGCTGGTCCCATGTATGGTAAGTCTGGGTTCCGTAATTACAAATTTTTCATGATTTTCAAATTATTTTAGGTTTGCGTCTCTTGCTAGACGTTCATCAAGACGATTACATGCCAACTACTGAAGCTGCTGGTGTTCGCATAGTTGTACACGAGCAAGTAAGTTACAATATTCAAACAGGGTTACGGTAGATTACGGTATTCATCGGGTTCAATTTAGGATCAGGAACCATTCCCGGATACGTTTGGGTACAGCGCTCCTACCGGATTTGTTTCGTCATTTGGGCTAAAAACGGTATGTTTCAAAATTGCTTTTTTTTTTGTCAGTCACCGTATTCCTGGAAGTTCATGAAAGATAAAGCATTTTTAGAAGCGCTTTTTGACTCTGAAAACCTCGGTTATACTTCCAGTTTGCCTTATTACTAAGAAGTATTTCGATTTTGCACTTCTCACTCAACAGCAGTTTTTGGAGCTGTTGTTTGTTATGGGAAAGTTAAACAACTATCAACTATCGTATGAGTCAACAAAAAAATCTGTTCCTCTTTTCTGCGTTGTTCAAAAAGAAAAACAAATAAATAGAAGTTTTCAACCACAGGTTTTATTATAACTAAAATTGTGGAGAATTTCTCGGGGCAACCCTAGCAAACTGTGCCGATTCAAGATGCAAATGCAAGCTTCAGCAAATTTTGTTCGATGTGATAAAAAAATGAACGTTATGAATCACCAATGCTTGCGGAGAGATAACCAACAAAGACTGGAGACTTTTTCAAACGATAAGGGCAATGATCAAAAGCAGCATGCAATTCTACGTCTCTGCAAATCTTAAAGGGTGGAATATAGGGCTGTTAAAAGTGTAGATACAAGCCATAGGGTGGAATATAGGGCTGTTAAAAGTGTAGATACAAGCCATAGTGGCATTACGCTGAAAAAACAGATGATGCATAGGTATCACTGATAGTAACTTGCTTGCACTAGATATGGTAATGACGGTATTAGTACGGTATCTTTCAGAAGTACAGCCTTCAAAAATGTCGTGGAAGTCCATTACGCAGAAAGAGTGTCCCAAATAATCAGCCTAATTGGCGCGGAATTTTTTTTAAAAATGTTCCTACCATGATACCGTAGTAGTGACGCTGGTTCGCCAGCCCTACAGTATGATAGAGAGCTTTATAAGGCGTTTAGAAGTGGAGCTATCACAATAAGAAGTTCGCCACATTTTGGTTTTACCTTGTATATTCCATAGTAATTTATTCGAAATTTTATGAAATATCAATAGGTCTAGACAGAGCCCGGCGGGGGTGGCGCTTTCACAAGCTGGATATCGTTTTTGGCCCGAAAAAGCAAAGGGGAAGTCGTATTTTGGGGACCCCAAAATACGACTTCCCCTTTGTTTACCGATAAACAATGCACATATCATTCTTTATTCATCATTCCTTGTTGATGCTACTGTCCTATGAACTTAGATTCCAGCAATGTGAAGATTCTGTGCTCCGATCGCTAGCCTGCCTGCAGGCGGATATTCAAATTGCAATTCTTGTAAGAGGAAAATAACAAAATAGGCTCGTTTTCAATGCACAAGTAACGATATGGCACCAAATTTGCTGTGTAGTTGGAGGACCACGAGCACAAAAAAAGTATGAAGAATTATGAAAAACTTAAGTGAATTTAAGAAATGGTAAGTGTTTTTCGAAATTAGGTGGCTCCCGCGCCACCTGGGAGCCACCTGGGGTGGCTCCCTGCTTCTCTTCACATAATTTCCCGAATTTCTCTACATAAATGTGGACTAGGTCGAGAGTATTACTATATGTTCAAATCCGCTCCCAAAACCACCAAGGCACCGCTTCGATACAGCCCCAAATAGGGTTCACAGCGTTATGATCGGCCTCGGAAAGCGCGCTCCAATCGCAATCGGTTATTGTAAATTGTAAAGTTTCGCAGTTGACTAATAAATGAGTGGTATCTTAGATATATAAACGTCAAAGTTTGTGCAAATCTTGACCTTTGCGGATGAACCTATTGAGCTGAAACCTTGATGACCCGGGCTAGACCAGGAAAGCCAGGTAGTACTACTATACTAAGCGCTGAGGCCGCCCATCTTATTATATGTGTATATCTGTTTGTCAGGGACTTACGGGGGTCAAAAATAGGGTCAAAGGGGAAGTCGTAAGAAATTTTGGCTTCAAAGGGGATATCGTTTTCAAAATTCTGAAATGCCACCTCCTGCCGGGCCCTGGGTCTAGAGGTCTAATATCATATTCATTATATGAAACTTGTGTGGCAATAAAGAACTCCAGACTTTACGAACGATGAATGCATGCAATACAGAAGTGTTTTCCATCAGCGATTAGGTTTCCTTTTCATCTAATAGGAATCTGAATCCTTGACAATTTCTGGAAAGTTTTGTGATTTGAGATCTATCACTGAAGCACTCTTTATAGAAAGTCCTTCATCGAATGGATGCACCATACGGACAATGCAGTGATACTTTTCGACCTGAACGATATATCTATGACGAACATTACTCTCCTGAAGTGCGTCTTACTGCAAATCATCGAGAAGCATTTCAACAATATTTATTAGCTCGAAACTTTAGGGCTGCCATCGGAACTGTTTCCAACTAAAAGTACTAGATCAATGTGGTTGTGGAGATCCACGTTTTCCGCTTCCATCGGATGAAAAACGTTACTGTAGCGCGAAAAGCGTCACTGACAGTAAGTCTTTTGGAATTTTTCAGGATTTCCTTTTACTCTCTTATTTCTAGGGCAATGTCTTTCCAATTTAACCAGCTTGTCTGGTGGATATCATCATCTACAGCTGGAGTGCGATTGTCGCCAGCCATGCACTGAAAATGTGTTTGAAACTGCTTACTCAGCAGCTGCATGGCCTTCAGTGAATTTCAAAATTGGTAAGTTTAGTTGATTTTTTCCAGTCAAAATTTTTGTGAAATTATTTATCATTTGCTTACAATTTGTCATTCATCCTTTTTTCACATTCTCCTATTGCACATGTAGTTTGTGCAGTCGTGAAGTTTTCGTTTTACCTATCATCGCGAGCGTCCTAAACGATCATATTTGGCTTATTGATCGAAGCTCAGCACACAAAGCGTTGCGCTGCAAATGATAGCCGCACGCGCTAGGGACACTACTGTTGAGACACATTGTATTCACTGTTTTGCATAAAAAAGCGTAGAACTTTAGTCTGAAGTTTTTCTTAAGAAGAAAGCAAAGAAAAATCGCTCTACCCACCATCCCCTCCGCAAATCCCATCCTCGTTAAAATTTTCACTTTTTAGGCGTGGACTGCCCGGCTGTTCTGGACATTTTCAATGATACCGAGGCTTGCACTGAATACTATCGTGTCAACACAGCTTATATCGAAATTTACTATGAACAGCTGAACTTTGAGACCTTGCGAGAGACAGCTGGCTATACTGTAAGTATCTGCCTCTTTCATAACCTCAGCCTTTCACATATTAGAAATATCCCTTCTATTTGAAAGGAAAAGTAAATGGAGCTCAATCTGCTTTTCATTCCTTATCTCCAAGAGTAAGAAAATCAACAAGTTCTTTCCAGCTTACCAATGTGATATTAAGAGCGTTTATCTGTACATTGTTTACAAAGTGAGTAAATAGCCCAGACTTGGTCAAGAAGCCACTCAATCGTGGACAGTTGTCAATCACTGCTACTTTGCTCCCCAGAGACTGCTAGAGACCTTAGATATTCCAAAATGGGAGAAAAATTTGAGCACGAAAAGGAGAGGGGGTTCCCGATTAGCTTCCAAAGATTGTATCTTATGTTACCAGTAACCTTTTGAGTCCAAACACAGGAATAATCAAAAGACTTTCCTAGTCCTTTTTCTTTGCTCTGACGAAGTTGGGCATATTGTTATGAGATGATTTTATTCTAGACTGATGTTCAACCATAATGAACTAGTGGTCTTAGAAAGATTATACCGTAAGTATACTATATTACCTTCTGATTCTAGATATAGAAATGTTCTAAGCACCTTTTTCCTCCTTTTTTCTATACTTTATCGGTTATTAAGGTTGTAGTCGTGTGTAGTTTACGTAATAAATTATATTTAACTCGGAAAAGTTTCACAACTTAATCCACTTAAAAAAACAATAATCTAAAGAATCCAACCTTTTCATCGGCTGACCAGCGGATTATTCAATATGTTTTGTAACTTAGTCAGAGAACCTCTCCTCAAAGAATTCTTTGCAGATGGTAAATCTCTTCTCCGATTTTGGTGGTAACATAGGCCTGTGGATTGGCTTTTCTGTCATCACTATTTGCGAAATAATCGAGCTTATCTTCGAAATTGGCTACTATCTACTTTACATCAAACCTATTCGGTGAGTTCTAAAACATAAAGCTTGGAAATTATTCAGTGAGTCACAAGATTTGCTATTCGAAAGCGCTTTTCATAAAAAAGCAAAAAAAAATCCATATTTTGACTCGAAAAAATCTAGTGTTCATTTATCCAATTTTTTTTTGTAAAAATGATACTATTTTCTTCTTGTGCAAGTGGTTTCTATAAGGAAAAATAATTAGAGGATAGAAGAACGTTACATTTCACTTACCTCTCTCAAAAACCCCTCTAAAATTTTCAGATACCACAAAAAAGTAAAAAGAAGAAATCAAGAAGAAACTCTAACACTTCCTCAACTATTGGATCGCCATGTTCATCAAGGCAGACGGGGAGCACTGAAGAATTCAAATCATACTAAAAATCCTGAAGAAGATGGCTATGGTTGAACATGACGTAAAAAATCTTTTTGGCTCTTTGATGGTTGTCTTTCTATTTTTTTGGCCTTGTACTGGATGTTTAAATGGCTACTTGAGAATTTGTAAAATTCGCTCATTTTGTTTTTGAAAAAAAATTACACTTCAAATTCTGTTGATCTTATCAGGTATGGGTATTTTGCGATCTCATCGAGATCTCAGCTTTCTTTCTTTTCCCTTCTGCGTTCGTAGTGTCTCTGTTTACTTCTTTGTCAATTTTGTAGACAATAAAAATGTGAATCAAAATTGTACAAGTGTGCCCGAAAACGGCTGATCTCCAAAGAATAATGGTCCCAGATGAGTAATGCTCGCTAGACGTTTCATAACGCTTATCACCGCGACTTCGAAAATGAGACGACCCCCTCCCCCTCCCGCACAGCATCTACAAACATATTTTATGGATGTGCATACAAAAAACTTCCAACGTAATGACTCAAACCACACATTTCGCTTTCTGCTCCGGCTCAGTGTCTTCTTGTCGACACGCATTTGAGGCATCGGTCCCATCATGTACAGAGGTAGGGTTTTTTTAGCTATTTTTACAATGTTCGAAGCTGAGGAACAAAAAATTACATGGGAAAGGGTTACTGTAACTGACAGTGCTTTCACCAGTATCTAGTAACTAAAAACACTACATTCCACTACATTCCTGTTATACAGGGTGTCCCAAAAGTAAGTACACACTTTTCGATTGTTAAAACTCTTTCCACAAAGTCTTTTGCTTGGTTAGTTTCAAGAACCATACGCTAGAGCAGGCTTCAGCTCAGATTTACAGTATGGGGAGAATTACCCATCGCTCTTTATTACTGTAGGATTACGGTAGGAAAATTCAGCATACTGCGTCATTACGATAGGCCCTTTCAAAAAAAAAGAAAGTTCAGATTAGTTCTAAAAGTTCTAAAGTTCGGAGATGTTCTAAGACATGTTGATTTCATTAGACAACTTTTCACAAGTCTCTCAGGCGTTTCAAATAATTTTTATCACATTTTTTGAACATACTGAGAAAGGTTAAGCGGTTAAGGCTATTGCGGTTAAACTGAGTTATGGGAAAAAGTTTTACGGTAAGTGCAATTAGCATATTCATACCCAGCGACTCAGTGTAATCTAATGACAAAGTTTCGGCTAGTTGAGCCATTTTGGGGCAAAATGTAGCCATTAATGGCTCAAAACCCTGTTCAAAGTTTCTACCGTAATCTTAAAGTAAGGAACAGAGCTTGTGATTCACTCTATAATATGAATCTAAGCTGAAGCCTGCTCTACCGATTGGTACTTAAAGCTATGCAAAAGGCTTTGTCGGAAGAGAGTTATTGCCGTTTGAAAGAGGTTTACTTACTTTTGGGACACTCTGTATTTGCACGAACTTCTTTTCCATGATGGAAATAAATTAAGCACGCATCTTATTCGCATAAGCTTCTCGCAAATCGTTACACTTTATTCCACTGCGCGTAATCTGGGATCATATCAATAACTGGCATTGCAAATTAGTCATTTCTCTTCCCGTAATGGGATTACCAGCAAAATGTTTATCAAACCAATTATATAATAATTTTTTGTATTTCGTTCCATTAGCCCTTCCTTAATTCCCCGCAATAAATTGGTGTAATATGTTGAATGCGTTGGAAAGGAAATATCAACTTGTGGCTGCTCGGTGTGATCAGCACCTTCCCGCAAGTGCTCGCTGCAGCTACACCTAACTCCCTATTGTCCCCTACATAGTGTCGGTCCGATAGGGTTCGTGACGCCCTATCGTCCGCTGCCGAGGACTACCCCCTATCCGTATGAACGGCACAATAGATAGCGTGTAACGCTGAGAAAAGAAAGGACCGGCTAATTCAGATTGCACTTATCTACAAATATACACAACAATAACGATGACAATACTAAAATTACTAGAACTACTAAAGCTACCAAAATTACTACTCTAAAATCAGGAAGAAAATAGGCACGGGACGAGCCGCCTCGTTCTGTGCTGCCGATGCTCGGTGACGATCACTCCAACGCGTAGTTCCGGGCTCTCCGATGGGTCAACCGCAAGCCCCTAGCCCTTCCGGAACGGTGTGACCCCTCTCCACTCCCGCTAGTGTAATTCCTACGCAAGGTAGACCACGACGTTTAGCTGCGCGTCTCCAAAACCAAGAAGATGACGAAAGCTCAACCGCTCGAAACCGATGATCATCTGCGGGAGCTGCTGGAGGCGCTGCCAGCATGAACGATATCATAAAACGATCAATACAAACGGAACTCGAAGAGGCGTAGACCGCGGCCTGCGCGCCCTTATATACCCTGTGACTTGGCAATGCGCCCAGCAGGAGAGGTCTTGGCGCGAAATGGGGAGCGCGCCAAGTAACGCGATAGCCAGCGCTCCCGGCCTTCTGTTTCGAGGAGTGGCTTGCATCGCGAGCCGCGACACATCTAATTGTTGAGCATGCGAAAAAAGTCGACACCCGATGATTTTTACATAAATCTTCCGAGTTTGGTCTATTGCCCTTCTTGGTATTTGTTTCCAATAACTCTAATCAATAACTCTTTCCGAAGCTCATCTCCTTACGCGTACCAATTCCCCTTTGCTGCTTTCCCAAAATTTCCACAAAATCTGCCACTTTGTGAATTATCGCAGGAAAATTGATACTAATTGATTACAGTTTAAAGCTCTGGTTAAGAGCATGTTTTGTTCATTCAGAAATGCTCCATGTTTGAAGAAAATCTTTAGAACCCCTTTTGGAAAATTAATTTTGCGTTACTGGTCTTTCAATTAGTTAGGTGTTTAAAAAATTAAATGTATTTAACTGTCGAGTATTGTCTGGAATATCGCAGGGAAATTGATACTAATCCAAACAAAGTTTGGAATTCGTTCTCTACAAGTGATTTAGTAATCGATGCGTTTAACATTGTATAACCAAAAAGCCTTTATAAAGCAATACTTCTGCACTTTCCGTACATGGCAATAACTTTTTTAAAGAAAAAAATGCAAACGCAGGTTTCAAATTAGCTCTACCAATTACGCTAATTTTCTTTCATTCCAGGTATCCTACTGCTGCTCTCTGTCCTGTGTAAGTTTATCTTCAATTTAGAATAACCCAAGTTTAATATGACCTATTACCGTTCTGCATGGATGCTTTTTTTCGTTCACTTTAGAGATTGTGGAATCGTTTTTGTTATCGCCTAAGATTCTGATCAAGTGATTTATTATGGAGATTCGTAACAAACCCAATTTGAGCCAACGAAAAACACTAAAGTGCAACATATGAGAGGATTACTATTTCAGTTGTACTCTATCTCAGCTATACTTTTTCTCTGCAAATTTTTGAAATTTTTTCCTACAACTAATCTTTATTATCAGGCTTCACCAAAGGGGATCTCATCCTACCTCTCTCACTGTTTGACGCCGAAACCAACTATCCAAACATGACTTTTGATTTGATACCGTATCTCTATGTAACTTCCGATGACCCAGATGATCTACTGAAAAAGATCAAATTCTATCTGCCTGGTGCTGAAGATACGGAGATAAGTAAAACGTGAGCGCAGGGCAACTACTCTCTGTGCTTCAACGAAATTTCCTATTTTAGAGCTTTATCCATCTCTTCTATGAGGAAGACCTTCACCACAGTCATCGATCAGAAGAAACCCTGGTTTGGCGAGGGTTCGACATTATCAGTGACGAGTAAACTGACAAAAGCTGAGGCATCTACGTTGCGGGGGATACTGTATGTGACTACTGTGGCTCCAAGTTCGTGCAGTTATTTCTGTCTTACATACACCAGTAGCAAATGAACGAACTTTAGCTCGAATTTGAAGGCCCTAGGAAAACTCGATGTCTAAATTAGCTAATTCAAGGTAAAATGCTAAATATGATTGAATAGAATATCAAAAAAAAATATATTGATGATGAGGTAACCTGGAAGGCGGGGCTTTGTGACCCTATTAAGGCGGCTTGCGCCCGCGACTCAGTCGCGCGCGTGCTCTCTTATCACTATTAATTAGGTCGCGAAGCCCGCCTTCCAGCAGCCATGCCAGCTGATTCAAAGGGTAGAAATCTTGTTAATTGTAAGAAGGATAATAAATATTGAATAAAGTATTAAATGCTTGGTATATTCATTGCATTTGAATTAACTCATTGTCTACGCGGCAGCTCATAATTTTTTCGCCCGCCCAATACCGTACTCCAGCCCGTTCCGCTCGGAGAAAATACGATACTGGGCGAAAATTTAGAGTTAGTCTCCTGGACACAAATGAATCATTTAAGCTGTCGACTGAGTAGTAATTAGTGTAATCAATTGGAATCACCCATCCAGGTCCCACATAGGAAGTTTGGGCACTCAAACTTGATACACTGCCTTCAAATAATAAATCTGATTTGTCCATTTTGCTCAAAGACATGCTCAAAATATTTCCGGCTCAACTTTAAGTTTAGCTCTCATAAAAATTTTTTTCTACGAATTTGTTGTTGAAATTTAGTTGTTGTAGACGCAGCTAATCCTGTCTTCGACGCTTGGAAGATACCCCCTACCGGAACCATCTTTGATTTCAAATCGGCCACCACCGCTGTTTTTCTCAACAACGCACCGTCTACCAGAACTTTGCTATCCGATTTCAGCTTGGATCCGGTAACAAACAGATTTTAGGGTTGAAAAATTGTGACCATTGAGAATCAACTTTTTTACAGGACGTTGAACTGTCGCTGATATCTGGTATACCTAACGGAGTTGTAAAATATCCGATTGCCACTTACAAGTGAGAAACGAAAGTTTCTTCATTTTTGAAGGTTTTCCGACGGGCTTAACTTTTGCAATTTTCTTTCGTTTTGAGTTCGAAGTTGATCACATGCAGAAAGTTTGAAGAAACGAATTGGAATAGATAATAGATCTTGCTTTTCAAATTTGTAAAGTTCAAATTGTCAGTTTTCTATTAATTTCAGAAACGACAACAGAACCATAGACCCAGTTATACTTATTCAACGCGCATTTACCGTAACGACCACCGGAAAAGCACAATTTTCTTTGAAGGGAGATGTTACAGAAGGTGACGCAAAAACATTTTTAGACTGCAGAATTGTGAAAATCACTTCTAGAAGACGATGAGGTGAGGACGACACCGGCTGCGGGTTTCTTTGTATCTTCAGAGTACCCGATGAAGACTGGAGGGGCTTATGAGGAGAAAGTTACCTACAATAGAAAAATGAAATTCTCAGTGAATGGCACCGTGAATTTGAATGATGGCGAAACGCTAGTGTTGTATTTCGTAAATGTCAAAAATGCACCTATGGAAGTAGTGAGAGCGCTGACGTAAGTAAAATCTACTCCCGGACGATGGTGAATGGTTTACGTTTGCGATGCGGTCGCGAAAGCGGCGGTGAGCGGTTGGTATCGCTGGAGGTCAATGCCTCAGAATCGATTTTCGCTCACGCGCCGCGCTCGCGTCCACCTCGCTTGCATAAACATCTTTCTTCGTCTGGAATTGGACTATAAACGCTGTAAGTAAACCTCAAATTGCTGTTTTCTCTAGCTACAACAAATCCGGACCAATAACAGCGAACGAAGTGGCGGAACAACTAAAGATTCAACCGTCATGTAAACAAGCTGGAGCGTTTCTGATATATTATACTACTGAAGAGTCAGGTACTCAAAACCCTAAGCTTTTTGGCATTTTGCCGGTTTGGAAACTTTAGTCGGGATTGCGGGCTAATAAAAAGATCAAAGGATCATTGAATTATCGAATAAGATTTTTGGACTTTCACGCTATAACTCACAAGGGAAGGAAGGTTGGTCGAAGTGGCCTTTTGAAATGAAATGTATACTGTCTGGTAGAGCTTGGAACGCTGATTTCAAATCTGCCTTCGCTATCCGCTGCGGGCTTCTGGGCAAGGAGTTATGAAAGTTTTTGGGAGTAAAAAGTTAATTGTAAAAATAGTGTAAAATCAGTCGTAACAATTTTCCTAGGGCTTAACTAATAGTCGGGTCATTCGGTGCAACAAATGTTCTTGATTCAAATATACCAACTCGCTGCTGCTCCATTTGAACGTCAGAAAAAGGTTACAACTAACTTTTATACTAATCTTACACTTGAATTTTTACTCACAAAAACCTACATAACTTCTCGTCCAGAAGCCCGCAGCAAATAGCAAAGGTAGATTTGGAAACAACGTTCCAAGCTGTACAAGACAGTGTACATCTCATTTCAAAACGCCACTTCGACCAACCTTCCTTCCCTTGTCAGACATTCGCAAATGGCTTCCGGGGGAAACTAAACTTCTAAATCTTCCGGCGGGACGCTCCTATTAGACCGCTTGAGTGTCCCTCCCCCCCCCCCCCTTATCTGGCCCCGCTCTACCTGGCAGCTCCTATAGAAGTGTCTCCCTAGAAGTTTTAGGGCTTCGTTTTTGCCCCGGAAATTTGGGATTGTTTGAGAAAAAATTCATTGACCTCAAATTTTCCTTTCAGGCTTACCGATAGATCCAACCAAAGGACCAACCATGTTACCTCCATCGGGTAAGTGTACTCCATAATTCCATCCTATGTGAATGTACGCCCCAGCCAAAATTACAACTTACTTGAGAATTTTGTGTATTAAGATGTAAACCAGCATCGAGAACAACATTATTCTCCTACTGCATTATTAGCTTATTGACGTAGAATTATAGATTCTCTTTTGATTTCTTGACTTCAAGAAAAAAAAGTAGGAAAGATTTGTATTTGCAAATTACCAACTTTTCTCGTCCTCGGATTTTCGTAACTTGAAGGCAGTGGTCGGGATAATTGCAATTACCAGCTCGCCATCCCTCTTTGGCCTTCTGGATTTGCTGAGTTCAGAGCTGTGCTTGAAAAGTCGAAAAAGTGAGATTTTCATAGCGTTTTCCGGTTTTGGAGATTATTGGAGAGAATGGGCGAGCGATCGCAGTTGAGTCGCGATTGGTCGCCTGAGCCAATCAGCCAATTACCGCCGAAATGGGTGGAGTTACAGTATCCTGCCGCCAGTCGCTGTTTTTAGCGGACCCTCGCCCTCCCCTCGGTAATATCTAAGACCGGAAAACGCCGAAAAAGCACTTTTTGAGTTTTCAAGCACACTCTCCGACTCAGCAGATCTAGAAGGCCATTTGGGTGCAAAAAGCCCGCACTCGCAATTTTCCTGACAAACTGTTTTTAAGAGAAGTGACATCAGGTAGCAAATAATAGGGAACTGAACACATGATTAGACGGAAAATCCGCAGATTCTTTTACCTCGATTTTTACAGGCCAGACATCAACTGCACCACCTGATACGAAACCTAAAGGTTTGTAAGTTTTGTGCACGCGATAGAGTCTCAAACATTCAAAAAATTTTCCCATTTATGCACAACTCCAGTTGATTCCTTCAGAAACTACCGGACTTCATTATGGACAAAAGCTCTCATAACTATTTCAAATTTACTTTTCGATAACATAATGTTTGAAAAAAAAACATTGATGACTCTTCAAAGGTTCGAGAAAAAGCGATTAATTGCAATGGTCATCAAAAATAATAAAGTGCAGAAATTTGGTATCTTCTAGGAGTCACCACAGCAGTTGTACCGCTTGGCCTGCTACTCTTCACGACAGCAATGCTTCGATGATTGAGAGTACATTCAGTAACTCCTGCAAATGAATCTTCTGCAGTTGGTGTATGTCGATGTCTGTAGTTGGAGTATGTGCATTCTAGAGTGATCCTTGTTAAGTAAAAATTTCGCGTCAGTTTCCGCCAATGCCTCATGCGCAACATGAGAAAAAGCCGAGTAGAAAAAGCTTCTTCCTTATCGAATTGTTCTTAAGATTACGGTAAATCCCTGAGCGTGCATTTACAGTGCCAGTACGATAACGTACTGACGTAGGGAGGAGCATCCTTTAGTTCAACGAGATTGACGGCTGGAAGGCGACCGCGCGCGCTTGCGACAGCCTTAATTAGGTCACGAAGCTCCGCCTTTCAGCCGCCAATCCAGTTGACTCAAAGGAAAGATACGCGCAATCACACGCCGATTAACCCTTCCACGCATGGCCCAACAAACTGTAAGACTTCGTATTTTACCGTATACCTACCGTACTCATCAACGACCTAGTGGCCAGAATGACTAACATCATAATCAGCTTGTCGCGCTTGTGCAGCGTTTTAGAGATAACTGAAATCACAAGATTTTGATCTTCTACGGTAATAATAGCAGCATTTTCGAACTCATATTTAATAGCAGCATTTTCGAACTCATGTTATTTTCAATATTTATAATGCAAAGAACCAACAAATATCGACAAATTGATACATACAAAGCCTTGCTAGAAGAATTCGACAAGATAATTTGGAGATCACAGATGAGTACACTAAAAAAACGACAAAAGAAAGGAGAGGAAAACACGATTATCAACTATTGCACAAGTATTTTATCTTTACAGTTGTTTACCCAGATCACAATTTATGCGATGATTTATACAATACTAAACATCGGCGCATAGAGAGATTCTTTGGCATTCGGAGGTAAATGCCAGAATCGGCAGATTCTATAGAGCCGATAACCACTGATTTTGGCAACATTGACATGATCCAAAAGCGCTCGAGAAATGTCTCATCTACGTTCGAGAGATTGTGTAGAACCATCGCCTTCTGTTCGAAAAGAGCGCATACTGACAAAGGGAACTGAGAACAGATGAAAACTATAAAAACGATGAGAAAAACTCATACGTAGTAGGCTGCTGCTCATAACTAGCAGCTAGGATGTTGTTGTCAATTCATTAAGCTATCCAGACTATCTCCGCTTCGCAGTGGCTCACAATATCAGTTTAAATAGTCATCATGGAGGCTGATTTGACCCAATTGACGACGACGCCTAATTTTGCGTGGCGGTGCTGGGGGACGACGCGATTTTGCACAACACTTTCGTTGTGGCAAGGTGGTGTGCTCATTTTCGAAATGCAAGATTGTTAACAACAATAAACACTATTGTTTTGCTAACAACTATGAACACTTTCTTGAACGACGGACTCTACAGGTCCCAAGAGTGCAAAAACTTGGAAAGAATATCTATATGTGGAAAAAATACCAGGCCTACAAAAAATGTGAATTTGCAAGGGGTGTGGGTCATCGGTGATCTAAAACGTCCCTGGTAGCAAAAAGGGCGTGGGCCATCGGTGGTCTAAATCGTCCCTGGTAGCAAAAAGGGCGTGGCCACCGGTGGTCAACATCGTCGTGTATAGGTTAACTGAAATTTTAGTACATGTTTTGTCTTCCAGATTTAGTGACTTTGACTCCAACTTAATAACCACGAAGAAAATGCGATAAAAATGTTTTGTCATAAGACTCTCACATTACTCCAAAGGCATTGTAAAGCACTACTTACTAATTTTTGTGGCGTATAGAAAGAGATGAATAAGTTCGTTGATTTACAGCAAAAATCAGAAAATTTGCATCGTACTCACAAGGGAAGGATGATCGGTCGAAGTGGCCATTTGGAATGAACTGTATATTAGGAAACCGTACTCGGTAAGGCAAACTCACAGCTACTTTCGCCAGGTGCCGAGCGGTTTTGTGGGGGAGTTACAAGGCCATTTTCCTTCGGCGCAGCCGGCGCACCCATTGATGGGCGAGGCACTAGAACATGGCCGTGGAGTGGCGGTGGCGCAGTGGCAAGACAGCGGAATACGAAGCAGATGGTCGAGGGTTCGAGTCCTGTTGCTGCTATTTTGTTTTGCACTTCTGTAAAAAGTCTATTGGGTGACGGTAAACAAAAAACACTCATTTCTAGGCAGTTGAAACAAGCTATTTACTGCAAAAAAGTCAATACTTCTACAATAAGCTATAATCTTTTACAATATGTAAATCTGGGGAGGTTATGATGTCACAACAATGGATTCAAATGATATATTAACATGTATGGAATACAACCACAAAATGCTCAAAGCAGAAGAGCTTCTCGCAGCGCGCGCACTTGCAAAATTGCAATCGATTCACATCTCATGTATTGGCTCTCGATCTGAACTTTACCTTGCATCATAGGGATTCCATCCTTGAAATCTTATCGCTCATTTACACATAGTTTTGCTCGCCGCGATTAAAAATTTCCTTGCATACCCATGGCGTGCAGCCGGATACTTTGATAACCACTCCGGCGAATTCGAGTCTCTTATTCAGTACTGTTTTTCACCGACTTTGATAGGCAATTGTGAAGCTGCTGATTGTCATCGTTTATATTTTATCCGATATGCACGCTGCTGGAAGCTCTTTTGCTTTGAGCATTTTGTGGTTGTATTTCATATATGTTAATAGATCATTTGAATCCCTTGTTGTGACATCATAACCTCCACAAATTTACATATTGTAGAAGATTATAGCTTATTGTAAAAATAGTGACTTTTTTGCAGTAAATAGCTTGTTTCAACTGCCTAGAAATGAGTATTTTTCGTTTACCGTCACCCAATAGACTTTTTACAGAAGTGCAAAACAAAATAGCAGCAACAGGACTCGAACCCTCGACCATTTGCTTCATAATCCGCTGTCTTGCCACTGCGCCACCGCTACTCTACTGTCTTGTTCTAGCGCCCCGCTCATCACTGGGTGCGCCGGCTGGCCGGAGGAAGATGGCCTAGTAACTCCCCCCACAAAACCGCTCGGCACCTAGCAAAAGTAGTTTTGAGTTCGCCTTACCGAGGACGGTTTCCTGATATACAGCTCATTCCAAATGGCCACTTCGACCGATCATCCTTCCCTTGTCAGCATATTTCTCTTCTTGAGCACAGCTGCTATATTTTTCAACCAATGTAACCGTCCGAAACATCTTAGTTTAGACCTAACATTTCTTACTACTTCTTTTGAGATTTTAGATCATTTCAGACTTTTTGAAACAGATTTTTCACATTTGCCCACAAAGCTAAATCTTTCTAATACTTTTTTGTCCATGCAGCTAATTTCCAGGTGTTTTTTTTCATACGACTTTTACGACTTTTGAATTCAAGAAAATGCTTAAAGCTCAATTGTTGCAACAGTTTCAGTATGTGACTATACAAAATTCGATTACCACTAGAAACTGTTCGATGAATATAGGCGCATATTGCCGAGAAAACGGAATTTTTCTCCTGTTCAGCCGTGATATTTACCATAAACGGTTCAAACGGTTCCATCGTCGACCTGCATAAGTCGTAAAGAAAGAGGATTGGGAAAATTAAGGGCATTGAGTGAGACCAAATTTATCAAAAATGCTTGGGAGCTGTAATATTATTAAGGTGTGTCATAAACCGTTGCGATGTAAAAAATGAATCTTTCCGGGAGTTAAAACCCCTTTTGCACTTTTATCGTCACTTATGGAAGATCTCAGGACCAGTCTAGCGTGCTGCAAACCGCCCAGCGGGTACCGACCATCTACCAGAATTCATTGTGATGTTATTAGGTAGAGTTGAACATATCTTGTGATTAGCAAAGCCGCATATCTATTTTTGAAAAAAGACACCAATAAGATAGAATCCCAAAAAACGCATGAAAAGCCCGAAAAGAAGCGTGCGCATTCAAATTCTT